ATCCCATTTGATGGCTAGTGACCGAATTTACATGGAATTGTGGTTTTTTTCTTTTTTTTTAATCAACAAAACAAAAACTTTATTAATGAAAAAAGCATAATACATGCAAAATTACATCAACAAATCAAGGAAGTGCAGAAAGTATCATAACTAAACTTAACAATCTCAACTAGGCTGGCACTGCAAATAAAGCACAATCATATGCTAGCACTTAACCCAAGATTAGTGAGAAACCAATCAAAAACACCCAAATAAGAACAGACCAACTATACAAAGCACCAGACACCAACAGTGCAAACAAATACATCAGAAACCACTCATCAAACCAATTAGCCCAATATTAGCACTTCAACTTGAAGACACACATGAAAAACAAGCATTGAACTTTTGATGCCTTGAACTTCACCTAAGAAGCACTGCCAATCAACAAATAACAAACCAACAAGTAAAGAGCCAACTGATGATGACAAACAATACCCCTAACCAAACATCTGATGCAGACCTCCAGATTTGATCCAGATCAGTCACCTCCCATTACTGATACAATACTTCACCTCACAGACCACCAGATCAGTTTTAGAGCAGCAAGCACAAAGCAAATCAGTTTTAGCAACACAAAACCACCACAGCAACCATTCCTCAAGAGAGCTTGACAGCATAACACAAGGTAACAACTAACACTCAGCATCAAGATACCACTTGACCTCCCTCACTAACCCAATACCGCTACAGAATACTATTGTTGTTTTTCCTTCCTTAATGAAATAACAGACCAGAACTAGTTGACCACAGAGTAAAACAGTCCACCACATAGTAATTACTCATTTTATCAACTACTCATCTTCACCAATAACCAGACCAAAACTACCACACAGCTCACCAGCATACCATATATAGCAACAGCAGCCACCATAGAGTAATTACTCCTTTTATCAGGAGCCCATACCAGTTCAGCACTCCACATTATATCAGTGCAGACCAACATAACAGCCTTCATCCACCCAAAAAACAACTGATGACTCTAAGATTAGAAATGGAATCCTGGGGGGACAGAGCAGAAGCAAGGTTAAGCAGTAGTAGAATAGATCCAAACCACCAACAAGACCTCAGTAATACCTCAGTAGCAGCACAACCCAGATCAGTCATTAAGCTCAGCGACCAGAAGAGAAATGTAAGAAAATGACTAGGAAAGACGGTAAGGGTATGGACCATACATAAGTTTCACGCTTCAAATACACTAGATTTGTTCTTAATTGCCAAAAATGTTGAAACAACACCATTATTGAATACAACATCAACTATACATAAATTTCATGTGCTTCAAAACTCACACCAAATTTGTTCTCCATTGCCAAAGATGTTGAAAACATCATTTCTTATATCATGGGTTCTATCATATGATTAAGAACTATGAAATAGAGTTTGAACTTAAGAAGATGAAATTGAATAAGGTTTTAGGACCCGATGATATAACTATTGAAGCATGAAAATGTTTGGGTAAGAATAGGGTTGTTTAGGTGACTCGTTTATTTAGCAAGATTTTGTTGACTGGAAAAATGTCATGAGAGTGGATGAAGAGTATTTTAGTGCCAATATATATAAGAATAAATGAGATGTTCAGAATTGTAACAACTATAGAGGAATCAAGTTAATGTGTCACACAATGAAAGTATAGGAGAGAGTGATGGAGCGTTGATTGCAACAAATGTGTCAGAGAATCAATTTGGATTTATGTCTGATAGGTTAACAATGGAAGCGATCTATCTTTTGAGGAGAGTAATAAAAAGGTATAGAGAAAAGAAAAGAGACATTCATATGATTTTTATCAATCTTGAGAAAGCATATGATAGAGTGCTTCTGGATATAATCTGGTGGGTGTTACTGAAGAAAGGGGTGACAAAAGGTTACATTGATGTGATTAGGGATATGTATGAAGGTATGGTGACCAATATTAGATCACCTGCTGGAGAGACAAATGAAATTTCAATTTCTGTAGGGTTACATCAAGGATCAACCTTAAATCTTTATCTTTTTGGTTTAATTATGGATGAATTGACGCGCGAAATTCAAGATGATTTGCTATGGTGTATGCTTTTTGCAAAATAATATCGTATTAGTAGATGAAACTAGAGAATGAGTTAACATTAAGTTGGATATTTAGAAAAAAAAACACTTGAATCTAAAAGATTTAGGATAAGCAAAACTAAGATAAAGTATATGGAGTGTAATTTTAGTAACAGTTATAACGGAAACAGAAGAGAAGTGAAAATTGAGAACTAATAACTACCTAAAAGTGAACATTTTTGTTATTTATGATCGATTGTCACAATGGCTGAGGGGATTAGAGTGGATGTAGTCCACAGAATTAAAACGGGGTGATTTAAATGGAGAAATGCGATAACGAGTGTCCATTAGACTAAAATAAAAGTTCTATAGAATGGCTATTAGACTGGCGATGTTGTATGGGATAGAATGTTAGGCAACTAAAAAATAACATGTGGAGAAGATGAGTGTTGCGGAGATGAGGATGCTCAGGTTGATGTGTGGCAAGACTAGAAAAGATAGAGTTAGAAATAAATATATTCGAGAATTGGTAAGAGTAGTACCGATAGAAGATAAGTTGAGAGAGAATAGATTGAGATGGTTTGGTCATATACAACGGAGACTGACAGTAGTGAAGAGATACGATACAGTAACGGTAGATGGTAGTGTTAGGGGAATGGATAGACTTAGATTGATGTGGACTAGTATAGTAAATAGAGATATGAATCTCCTTAATTTGACTAATGAAATGGCATTGGATAGAGTCAAATAGAAAAGAAGAATTTATACAACCGACCACATTTGATGGTACTTAAGGCTTGGTTCGGTTTTGGTTCAATTCCTATAAAGATGAATTTAATATCACTTGTATTCATTTCTCTCTTAATATGAGAGTTGTTTATTTCTTCTCTAGTTTAGACTAATGGTAATTGTTGGACTTTCTAATTATTGTTCAGACTTTGGCCTTATATGGGAAGTTGGCTAAAAAAGTTATATTTAGAAAGTTGGTTGGATTTTTTTTTCTTTTTTTGTAGTCAATTTGATGGTTGTGAAAGAAAAAATAAAATGTTTATGGGTTGGGTGTGACATTTCATCTTATTGGCTATTTTAATCTATTTTGTCTTTTAATAGGCTATTTTAGGTCAGCTCTCTTCCCAAATAAGTCCTTTTTTATTGTCCATTTTGATATAATATTTCTCATATTTGTAATTATTTTCTTAAATTGACCCCCCCAAAAAAAAAGACTACATCAACTATGCACAAGTTTTGTTAGAATATCTAAGAGAAAGAGAAATCTGCGTTATATTGAATATTGTAACAGTATATACAAGACTCCTTTATATAGAGGAGAGAAATCTAAGTATGGTAATGAATATAAAATGACATATATGATAGACAGTATATAGTTACTATATTTAATATGCTCTCTCAAACTCAAGTAGGAGTCTTGTATATACTGTTAACTTGAGTTTGGAGAGAAAAGCTAAAACATGAAATAAAACTAAAATAAAATAAAATAAAGGGCAAATAGATTGCAAAGTTTGAACTGGAGCGCAAGAGCGTTTGAGATAGATCAAACATCGGAGCTAATGTCGAGAGACAATTTATGATCATGTCGAACCGTTATAGGAATTGGTAGGAACTAATGTTGGGACAGTTTAAGGTCATGCTAGACCATTGTAGAAATTGGCCGGAACTAATGCTAGGACAATTTAAGGTCATGCCTGACTGTTGTAGAAACTGAATGGATTCAATATCGGGACAGTTTAAACGATCATGCCGGACTGTTGTAAGGAAGTAACGGATGTTAAACCAGTAGATGTGGCACACACGCAACTTATGACGTGGTGTTGAACAATGATCGCAATAGATGACATTGTGCACTAGAGGGTGACTTATGAGAAAGTGTGTCAAGGGGGTGACATGGGTGGTGTGCCAAAGGACGGCTTAGGTGATATGCAACATGAGTAGCTTGGGTTGTGCACCACAGGGGGACAGTTTAGGTAGTGCGCCAATAGAGCGACTTAGAGAGTGTGCCATAGAGGGCGGCTTAGGTATTGCGCCATTAGGACAGCTTAGAGAGTGTGCCACAGGAGGCGGCTTAAGTAGTGCGCCAAAGGAAACGACTTATGGAGTGCGCCAAGGGGGCGACTTAGGTAGTGCGCCAAGTGAGGTGACTTAGGAAGTCCGCCAAGAGGACAACTTAGATAGTGCGCCAAGGGAGGTTTGCATATGCCAAGGTAGCGGCTTTGTTAGTTTGCATGGTGTATGACCATGTTCACTATGATATAGATATAATACACCCTTCAAACTCAAATACGTTTGAAGATAAAACCTATTTGAGGTTGAAGTAAAGGGAAAGACAAAATGAAGCAGAAGTACAAACAAAAAAAAAAAAAAAAAAATTGAAGATAAAACCTATTTGAGGTTGAAGTAAAGGGAAAGACAAAATGAAGCAGAAGAAAAAAAAAAAAAAAAAAAAAAAAAAATTGGATTGCGAGTAAAAATATATATATATGATAGAGATATTTAAGATAGGAATAAATCAGTGGACAAATGAAGAGATTACCATGAAACGATACTGAAAGGAAAATATGGTAGCGGAATAGGTTGAGATCCGGTGAGTAACCAAGGTAAGGCTGTCGCCCGCCAGTGAAGTGAAGTGAAATTACTAGGTACTTAACCTAATTCTGATACCATATTATGAGAATAGAGAGAGAAAGAGAGAGAGAGAGAGAGAGAGAGAGAGAGAGAGAGTGTGTGTGTGTGTGTAACTCTGTATATTTCAATGAATGAATATGATATACAACAAATTCGTTCTACTATTCCAACAACTCTGTATATTTCAATGAATGAATATGAGTGTATAACTATACTCACCATGATATAAAAATAATAAGTTTCATGCTTCAAACTTGCAACAAATTCGTTATACTATTCTACAGTCCCGGACTCGATCAAACAAGAAAGGCATATAATTTTCATTAATCTGTTTGAATTACAATAGTTCATTGTATGACCCAAAGTAGTAATAATAATAAATAAATAATGGTACAATTATATCAAGATACAAATGACTCCAAACTTTCAGGGTGAGAGGCTAAATCTCGCCGTTTTCCCCCATTTGAACAACAAACTATGGTTAGTATTGAAATAAAATAAGCATAAAAGTAAGAAGTCTATGGGGAATTAGGTGCAATATGGTGCACCCAAATGCTACAAAGAGCCAAAGCTATAGTAAGGTAAGGCCAAACCTGGTTCAAAACCATACTACATATGCTCCCTCCTATACTCCCAACAAACCAATTCCTCTTCTTGTAATTCTTCCACATTAATGTTCCACCATGTTTCTTCATCTTGTTCACCTCATCATCATTAGAGCAATCTTTCTCTCTCCTCTTCACACCTTTGCTAGTGTTATCTACAAAGCTGTCCCTCAACTTCTCATCCTCCAAGTGTTCTCCAAAATACACGCAATAGTAAGTCAATAGAAGTGCAATGATAGTGATGCTTGGGCTCACTATTTTCCTCCATGGCTTCTTGGGTTTTGTTGTTGAGTCTGGTTTTGTCATTGGAGAGTGATGTGTTGTTATCACTGGATTTAGATAGACCTTGACAATCTCTGAGGGAACTATTTGGTGAAAGAATGTCTCAGCTACTTGGCGAGTTGAGACGAACAGTCCATGACTCACCTCAATTTTTTCATGAACTTCAAAGTTTGGAGTACTAGAAAAGTCATCAACTTCATGACTATCATCCAAAAAATTGTCGTTCAGGTTATCGTCGGTGAATCCAAATGGGAAGTCATTCGCTTCCCTGTCATTGAATTCATTGAAGTTGCTTTGATGATCAATTTCTCCTGCAATTATATAAACATATATATTTTATCAGAGAATGGGAAAGAAAAAAAATGTGTGTGTAAAAAAGTAATCAAAACAAGAAGCAAGTGGAATTGGCAATGGCATTACCTCGAACCTCTTGGTCTTCGCTTGTCTGGAAACAGGAGATGGTTTCTATTGGAACAGTCTTGTAATCTTCTGAAAAGTTCTGTTCATTAATAGATGGAAAACTATACATATCAGAAAAATTGCAAAATGGTAATGCTACAAAATATTTTTAAAAAAGTACAAAAGTTCTCTTCCGTTTGTAGAATAACTAGATCTGTCTAGTTCAGCTCACTGATAGGACTCTATTTTAATGATTGGATGGGTTCAAATTATTAATTTAATAGGCTTAAAATTCAATCCAGTGCTTTAATACTGAATGGTCTAATCCTTTTATTAGGATGGGAGATATTACAAAGGTAAAAAATAAGCAACATTGAATCATGTGGTGAATCTTGAATCTGTCATTTTGGACAGAAATACCGTTAAGACTAAAAATGCTATGTATTTATCTAAATTTTTTTTATTTATTTTATGTATGGGCACTTTTTTTGTGTGTGGTGAACCTTAATTCTGTCATTTCAAATTCAAAGTACTTTTCTTGTAAATATTTTTCTCGATAAGTAGGTATTGTTGCCTATCGACATGGTTTAAATTTTTAAAAATATGAGTATCATATTATTATGTTTAAATTTATTTATGTATTTATTCCTTTGTAACACTAGAGTTTCTCTAAATGCAATGCAAGCAAAAGAGTGAAGAGTTAGTACCTTCTCTAGGTCTTTGCTAGACATTCCAACCCATCGCAAGTTCTCCACCGTTCTTTCAGTTTTGAAATCTTTGTCGAACCCCCCAATCTCTATGGACCTTGAGATTGTATGCTGCTGATCTTCCATAATCAATCTTGAAGAACCACCACCACCACCATTATTCATCATGTCATGAATTTGGACAGCATGAGGATGAAAAGAGAAATCATCACCAGCTTGTTGGGCATAGAAGCTTCCACCACCACTAGTAACCCCCCATGTCATGTCTTGATTGATCAGTTCTTGAGAAGCCTGAGCTACAGACAGAATTTCCTGCAAAATGTCGTGTTCTTCGTGATCATTTGGGTTGTGGCTGCGGATGGAATCGGACTGTGGTATTCTTAAATCGACGAAGCCACCCTGTGGGAAGTCATGCACCTCCAGTGGTGGCATTGACAGCCGGTGCTGCAACCTTGCGCACTCCAATGCTATATCCACCTGAAACACAATACAATTTTTTTTTTTTTTTTAAATGCTAAACATACGGCATTTTTTTTACAAATGAATTGATATAAACCACAGTGATGTGTTTTATGACGTGACAATAATATTTTTGCAACTATGAACAAGAGATGTATTTTTCGACTTTCAAAGATTATGAATGAGGCACTCTGTATGACATTTTATTTTTTTGAATGAAGAGACCCAGCCATGACACATGGGAACCCACATCAAGAATAAAGAATTTGGATGAAATATTGTGATAATGTATTGCAACCCTTTTATTAGATTCATATGCATGTAATATTGGAAGATACTTGAAGAAGAAGAAGAAAAAAAAAGAAATAACAGTTGGGTTCTTGCATCAACGAATTTGTTGTGTGACTTTTATGTGTGAGGTGAAGTGTGGCTTATTGTGTGAATTTATGTAAGAAATGAAAAAAAAAATGATAAATTCATTTGGTGACATATATCCTTTTCCGCCAATATATATTTACCCAATGAATCGTAATTTTTTCAACTCCTATGTGTATTTCACACAATAAACGATAATTGTACATACAAAACTCATAATATCTAAAAATAATCAGACCCATCATAACTTTTTTGAATACGACCATTCTACATGAATATATGATGACATTTGATGTGTGAATGCAAGAAAAATATGAAAAACTGATAAAATTGATAAGGTAATATACACAACAACCAATATGTATTTACCCAATGAATTGTACTAATTTTTTCACTCCTAAATGTATTTCACACAATAAATGGTAATTGTACATACAAAACTCACAATATCTAAAAATAACCAGACCCATCATAACTTTTTTGAATAGGACCATTCTACATGAACACATGATGACATTTGATGTATGAATGCAAGAAAACTATGAAAAACTGATAAAATTGATAAGGTGATATACATAACAGTCTTCTATATACCGAAATACACTCCATAGTCTAATTGCATTACCTTGGATGGGGGATAGGAAATGTTTCCGCAATTTGAAAAAGACGGATTGGTGAAGCTAAATGCATCCTCCGATAAGTAGCGCATCCAATTCCCATCAGTTGCAGCACTGCTGGTATTGGTATTCACTGTAGGAGATCCAACATGGATGTTCATGTTGGGTGAGCTTGTACTGTGATGCAATGCCATTTGATTATAATCATAGCTCTCCAAATCCTCACCTCTTCCCTCAGAATAAAGGTCATTCATACTAGATGAGTGATCACTAGACATCTGGTTATTATTTGAACCTGACCCTACATAATGCTCTCCTATCTTTGGCCCTGTTGCACTCTTCTTAAACACCCGGCATAGCGCGTAAGCATCCTGCAAATTTATTTATTTATTTTATTTTTAGAAAAATAATAGTAATTGCATGTTTTTTTTTTTTTTCAATTTTTTTTTTTTTTTTTTTTTTTTGATCAGCAACGTAGAAATTTTATTGATGAATAGTAATTGCATGTTGTGAGGCATCAAATGAAAATGCTAATCACTTCTTTTTATGAAAAAAAGAAAAAATTAAGCAGAAAAATACCAAGAAAAATGTCCAAAATTTGGAAGTTGTGGGTCAGATTTATCACATACCAAGTTAAATATACACAATTCAATAAAAAATTATGGCATTTTTCTGAATATTTTTCTCTAGGTTCATGATATTATCTAGAAACAAAACAAGCCAATTTTTTCCCCCCAACAACACTACATATGGACTACATTTGTTCCCCCCACTAATTTTAAATCTGCATCAGAGAAAGAAAATGGAAGAGAATTAATGTAACAAAAAAAAAAAAAAACTTAAATTTCATTTGTATTTTCTCTCTCTCTCTCTCTCTCTCCCTTCTTTCCATGCACAAATTATAAATTCAAAATTCTAGGAATATTAAGGGAGAGAAAGAGAGATTAAAAGCTGAACCTGAACCTGCAAGCCTGAGGGAGTTTCGCATTCTCTCTCATCAAGCCTGTACTCATGCATGACCCAATCAGTACGAGCGCCATGCGGTGCCCTCCCTCTGTAGTAAACTAAGGTTTTCTTCATCCCCACAGCCCTCATCTGTGAGTTCACTTTTCGATCCTTCCCTGTCGCCTTCCAGTACCCAGCTTTAGTTGCCCGATTTGTCCTTGATCCATTTGGGTATTTGCGGTCTCGTGGACTAAAGAAGTACCACTCTAGATCCTTGCTTGGCAATAATGATTTTCCTGTGTAAAAGTTTTTTCAATCAAATAAGCTTTCCAATAAAATGGGTGTTGTTACACAATAAATAATTAAATAAATAAATAAGTAAGGTTGTGGTGAATAATTTTTTTTTTTTTTTCACTAAATTCTGGTGGAGTCCATTTTGTGCCAATGCATAAGATGTCATTCATGGATGGAATGCTGGCGATGCATGCCTATTATTGCACCAATGCAGTGATGGTACGTCAAGATGATAAGAAAAAATAAAAAACAAAACAGGATATTGTGATGATCAATTTATTTATTTATTTATTTATTGTGTAACACTCGTCATTAATGTATTGGAGCAATGCATAAAAGATGGGATTTGTTGCATCAATGCATTACCTGTCATCCATGTATTGCCTGCTACAATGCATGAAAGGTGAGTGAGATTCATTGCACTAATGAATTATATTTATATGTCATTCATGCATTGTTACAATGCATATAAAGTGATATTCATTGCACCAAAATAGTGTTTTTATATTAGATAATAAAAAATATATATATTGTGATGATCAAATTTACTTATCTATTTGAGGTGTCATTTTTTATATTGTCCATGAAAGGAATGTGCGCACCATTGCAGTACTAATGCATTATGTGATGCAATGATAACACATAAATTTAATATAAAAATTTGGTCCTCCTATCATTGAAAAGGCTCAGAATTTGCATGGAACATTAAAAGAGTATCCCATGTACTAAAAGACTGGCTATATGAACCTTCAATGCAGCACTTATTTTCCATAAGCATATATTGATGAGTATGTATGTACAGAATCTATCAAAGCATGGTCATAATTCCTTTTTTGACTTGATTTCACATTTTAAAGCAGCTGACAGATCAGATCAGATCAGATGTCTAAGAAGAAAGCAATATTGGTCAAGGCTCTTCAAGCAAAACCCATTACATTTTTTTCTTTCTTTTCTTCATAAAGTTTGTTTGGTTTCTCCAATAATTTGACAACCCAAGCCTTCATCTAAAAGACAAGTGAGTGAAATAAAGTTCAATGAAGCTTCTAGCACAGGACATAAGGGTGCCCAAAAAACAAAAGCTTAAAACCCATATCTCATGGAGATTGGAGACAATGCAAATCATGTTCTTTTTTCTTGCTTTTTGACTTCAATCTCTCTCTCTCTCTCTCTCTCTCCCCTAAGTACACATCTTTGTGTTCCAATAGGAGATTGAAAGATGTAGGGACCATGCCTTAAGCCCTTAGGAAATTTTCTTTTTGAGCAGAAAGGAAGATCATAGAAGATATATCTTATTATAAATCTCATGACATTGGACTATAAAGCATGTCCAATTGCTTATACTGTTTCCAACAGTATAATTGAATGAAAAACAAGGCAAAGCATATTGATATAATTTCGAAACGTTGAATGGGGCACTCCTCAAATTCATGCACCTTTAACAAAAAGAATTAGGAAAACACATGGAGCCTCCTTTCACCTAAAGTTTTACTGGCATATTATTCAAATTTAATACCAAGATTTTATAATTCACGTTCATTTTCTGTCAAATTTTCAAGAATTTTTTTCTTTCAAATTCAGTAGCATTAATATTAGGTGATAATAAACTGTGGTTTAACCTTAAATGAAAATCGATGAAATAAGGTTTAGATAGATTAATAACAAAGAGCTTGAGAATGATTAGACTTAATTTAGGCAATAGTGTTTTATCGTAAGAAGTTTTTTGATTCATTTCTTAATAAATGAAAAAGTAAAAGGGCATAGAGTTATGGTCATTATACCTTTCTTCATATTCACTTTCTAGTCTTTTGGGTAATGGGTCTTTTCATATACAACTATATAATTCAATCTTCAAAAACAATGGAAGTATACATTTCAACAAAAGGTGCACCTTGAAGGGATTGAAATGCTTCAACTACTAGTTATGGGGCTTCTAAATCATCTGTATTTGTTAAATATTCATTTATTTATGAAAACCATGCACAACCAACCAATTCAAGAGAATAATGATACTAGTAAATATATATAGTTAATTACCTGGTAAGTCCCAAGGCTCGCACTTGTAGAGATCAACTTCAGGGATGATCTCGAGTTCGATCTTTCGCCCATTAATCTTTCTCTTGAGATAGTAAGCCACAAGTTCTTCATCAGTAGGATGGAACCGGAAACCAGGTGGCAACGAAACAGGTGCCATTTTCACTATGGATCTTTTTCTGATCTGAATTGAACCCTAAAAAAGATTGGACCAAACCAGCCTCGTATCCAAACAAAAAAAAAACAAGGAGACCGGCTTTTGAAAATCAAGAACTATATAACCCTGCAAAGTACAATCAAAGACAAACGTTAGTCTTGAATCTTTATCAACTAGGTTGTGAATAACAATTCATGAACAGGGTTAGACAGAAACTATTCAATCGAAACATGAACATAAGCATGAAGAATATTAGAAGGCTACTATGTGAGAGAGAGAGAGAGAGAGACCTTGGGCAGAAGAAGAGCCAAAGGAGAGAAAGAGAGGGAAGAGAGAGAGGTGGCGAAGGGGGGGTTGATGGGGTTTTGATAAGAGGACAAAAAGAGAGAGAGAGAGAGATGTAGAGAGAGATGTAGAGAGAGGGAGAGAGAAAAAAGCAAAATGGAGGCTGCCACCCCCTCCCTGCCCTTTATCTTTAAATTTGTTTTTTGGCATAAAAAAAAAATAAAGGATAAAATAAAATAAAATACATAGAAATGATGCTTGTTATCTTTCTATTCAAGCTGTCTGTGTGTGTGTGTCTACGTAATATACATGAAAGAATGAATAAGATGAATATGTGTTTTGTTGAGAAGAACAATTATCCTATGCTTCGTCAATGTCCTTTCTTGGAATCTGAGTTAACTAACTACAGGTTGATAACTGTGGATTCGATTCATTACTCACCCGTTTTCCATTTTCTTTCTTTCTTTCTTTCTTTCTTTCTATTCAAAGACAAGCGAAGAAAACTCTATTCAGAGACAACTAGAATTGGCGGCTGACCCTTTATCATACACCATCATCATCATCCTCTCTCTCTCTCTCTCTCGATTACTTTTTGATTGATCATTTTCCTATTCATATTCATCTTCATATATACCATCAAAAGAAACAAAGAATGTTCCTTTCACATGTTCATTCATTGGTTGCCCCTATCGACCGCCCGATCCCACCGACAAAAAAAATCCTCCCTCCCCATTACTTTACTTTATTTACAAAATTGTTCACCCTCCCAATTTATATATAATTAGGGTAATTGCGTATCAGTGGCGCAATTTGAAAGTAATTGCATTATACGAATTTTTTTGAATGCAAATTTGGCATGTAAAAATTATTTATACCATAAAAATTACTAGTTTGTGATTTTCCCAATACAATATCATCTATCTACTAACGTATAAAGCAAACAGCTTTCTAGGTATGAATGTCATGGTTTTTAGTTTACCCAAAATACCCTCCCTCAACGGCCTCTTATAATTAACATGTCTCTTGTAACCAATCGTGTTCTTACAAAAATAAAAATAAATAAATCGTGTTCATATTCAAATCAAATTTATATTTTGTAATTTTAACAGTATACTTATCGAATAGGCACACACTGCTAATATATTGCTATTGGTTAATAACAATTTATAAATGTGATTAGGTGGATAATTTTTAACTTTCACTAATTTAGTGATGTTGTTCTCATTATTGCAGTCACATTCAATATTTATCAATGCATCATAGAGCAATGAGAAATTCATATATGAGACTATTGACAACCACCATAATGTAATATCATTATACTTAATATATTTACTAAATGTGAATCCATAAACAATATCATTGGAAAAATTATTTGGTGGTGCAGGACACAATGCTCCTCACCAAACACTAAACATCAATCTCCCTATTGTTTCTCACAACTCATTACCAATCACAATACACCATAAACACCACGTGATCATGTCCTAAAATCACCAAATAATTTCTTAGACCATTGACAAAGTTTTAGAGTTTTCATCATAAATGATATGTCATATGATGTTTTAAGAGTAAAATTGGTTTAATTGCTAGTAAAAAAAGAAAATAAATAAATTATTATTATTATTTTAATTTTTTGAGATTTGGAAAAAAATATTTAAGTAATCAACTCAGTTAACCCAATTAATTGTTGAAACAAATTAAGTATAAGTGAAAAAATCCTTTTAAAATCAGTAAACATAGGTCAAATAAATTGTAGTTCTCATTGCAATTAACTAGTAAACATTCAATCACCAATTAAATCAGTAAACATTCGCGTCTCAAGTTGGTTTGATTTAGTCATAGCCTAAATCGAGACCCAACTTATTCTTATCAGATTCATAATCTTAAAATAAAAAATAAACTAATACATTAAAGTACCAAATCAATCCAATTATAGTTTCGTTTGGAAAGAAATTTTTTAGCCTTACTTTTTCGCTTTTTTAATTTGGTTAAAAAAGTTTTGTTTGGGATGCCTTTGACTTTTTTTATAATTTTATGAGAAAAAAGTGAAATAATTATAATTTAAATATGATATTTTGTCTTATTAATTTTTTAATCTATTTTATCTTTTAATAAACTAAATTAATTATAACCATGTTACCAAACGGGAGCTAAAGAGGTTTGGTTGGATCGAGTTGCATTGGCTTGGTTCTCTAATTTTTGAGTATTTTATACACGGCAACGACAATGGCAATGATATAGAGGTATTGGTAGTGGCATGCTAGTAGAGGGATTGTGATAATGAATATTAGGGTTGTTCGCGGATCGATTTTGTGCGGTTTGCGGTTTGGTTTTGACCCGCCCACATTTATGCAGTTTGGGAAAAAGTCAAACCGCAACCGCCCGCAGTGCAGTTTGCGGTTTGTGCGGATAGAGTTTGTAGATATACGGGTAGTTGCAGGCGGTTTGCGGTTTACACTTTTTCTTTAAAAATTATTTTTTGAGTTTTTTTTTTCCCATCAAATTTAGGCATCAGATTCATTTTATATATTTGTAATCATTTGACAATAATTTTCTGATGAGTTTACAAATAAAAATTGAATATCAATACATTAAATGAAAGTACCCAAAGTAAAGAGACATTACACTAGCATTTTTGCCGTGAAAAAAATGTATATCAATGCATTAAAGGTTGTATTCAATTAGAATTTTCAGTTTAGTAATCAATAATCAAACTAGAAGCTCCATCAACCACCAGAATGAAAATTTTATTAGGAAAAAGTGGATGAGTCACCAATGAAAATCATGTAAGAAACCAAGTTTAGAACTTGATAATTCTACGGCATTAAGAAAGTTGAGATATACTTAAAAATAAGGATATTAGTGTCATAGAGAATATAATGGTGCTCCTATTAAAGTTACAAAGTTGGTATATAAAAAATAATAATAATAATAATAATAATAATAATAATAATAATAATTAAAGTGCGGACGGTTTTTGCGGGTTACGGGTTGAGGATTGAACTCGCGACCCGCCCGCAATCCGTAAATTTGTCATATTTCAAACTACATCCGCGCCGCATTATATTTGCAAAACCGCCTATTTATATGCGAGTTAGACAGTTTGAACGGTTCAGATAAATTGTTACCCACCCCTAATGGATATAGTTGTAGTGATGGACTGACAACACTGGTAGGAGTGAAATTATAGTAATGGTAATGATAGTCACAAAATGAAGTTAAAATTGTGTAACTACTTATAAATTCAATCAATATTTTGTCGATTTAAATTTTAAATTAACATTCGTATGTAGAGTCTACAATCTTCTTAAGGATTGAATTTTTAACTTACATTTCATAAATCATTTAAATTTTTTAGTGATACGAATTAGATTATTAAATAGAATTAATTAATTTTTATTTAATACATTTAATTTTATTTTATTTAATACATTTAATTTTAAAAATTAAATTAAATTATCCAACACTATACACTAATTTACATTGATTTACAGCAAATGGGGATTAGCACCTTGTAGAATTGAATCAGAACCTATCATGAGGGCCCAGCTTTTGCCACGTGAGGTGGAAGTTCCACGTGGCACAGCAGGATCACTTGTGCAGTCTTCTTATTCCCCAGATTGTTCTCTCTCTCTCTCCCATACTTTTCCTTTTCATCAATCCATCTTTTGGTGCTTTTTCCCTTTTACAGATTTATGTTTCTTATATTCATGGCTTGGGAAGGGTTGGGACCTCTAAACTCTGCGTTCTATTTAACCAACGCCCGTTTGGGATGTCTTAAAAAAAGTGTACTTTTTGATTTATTGGTGGGTTTGGGTTGAGTTTGGATTGGGTTTGATGTGATGTGTTAGAGAGGTGATGTGATTTAAATAAGATGATGTGACTTAAATAAGATAGTGACTTTTTGACTTTTTGACTTATTTAGTACATGCCAAACTAGCCCAATTTGGTCAAAAGTTATGACAAGGGGTTTAACTCTTTCAACTACACGTGAATTTTTTCCTTATTTATTTTTTGGACAATTTACACAAATAATTCCTATAATTTGGTATTTGTGTCACTTTGATCTCTGACTTTTTAATTATGACACATTTGACCATGAATTTTAAATCTTGTTTCAAATAAGGACAATTGAAGATATCACTAGATTTTTTAAGGGTAAAATTGTCAATTTGATAAAATAAAAACTAATTTGACAAAAATAAATGTCAAACAAATATTTTTGCATTTTTAAAAATTATTTCTACCTACTAAAAATAAAATTATGTAAAATTGATAAATTTTTTAGACATTTATTTATTGTTTTTACCAAATTAATTTTGATTATGTGTTTGGATGATGATCATGTAAAATTAATTTTAAAAAATTAATCATGTAATTTTTTATTAATTTTACATAATTTTATCATTGGTGGATAAAAATAATTTTTAAAAAATTAAAAATATTTTTTTGACATTTATTTTTGTCAAATTAAAATTTAGGGTCAAATGTGTCACAATTGAAAAGTCAGGGACCAAAGTGACACAAATCCCAAACTATAAGGACTATCAGTGTAATTAACCCTTATTTATTTATTTTCTACATTTGTTCTTCTTGATTTTTTATTTTATTTTATTATTTTAAGTTTTGGGCTCTTCTTCGATTTAGATTTGAACTGGAAGGCTCATGAGATTCACTGTAATTTCTGTTTTGTAAACCTTTTCATGTATATTATCTTTGAAAAAAGTTAAATTGATTTAATAATAATAATTTATTTAATTTATTACATTCGGTACTTTAAAACGAATAATCTATTTTAAAAAATATATTTGTCATCTATTTTTCTAAATACAATCATAATAAATTGAACAAATTAAACTATAACAATTAAGATTTTAGAGAAAAATTTAGGGACAATCACTTTTTAGACTCGAATTATTTTCGTTATCAAAAGTATCATTGTTATATTTTTAACAATGAAATTGAATATTTAGTGATGAATTACTATCCTTTTAGAACTAAAATTTATCTCTAATAGTAAACATTTTTTGCACCAAATTATTTTGTCTCTTGCATTAATTTATTAGCGGCATTTTCAAAATTGTCACGAAAAGTTATTTTTTTAACCTTTTGAGACGGCTTTTTAATGACAACCTCACAACCACAAAAACAAGTAT